CTCTTTGCTCCACCGAACATCATAAAGACGCTCTCATCATTGGCACTAGAGAAACTGACCACTGTAACTCTATTCTATTTTCAAGGCTTATATCATTGGGGCCTCAAAAGTGTGACACGAATGCCTCAAATCACATACCTTTCAGTCAATATGAACAGCGTCGTAGATTTATCGGAGCTCTTGGAAATAACTCCAAATGTGGAATCATTGCATTTGTACTTCAGCGATATGTATGAAAGTCAAATTCAACACACGCATGTAGAATTACCCCAAACATTAAAGGAACTACAAGTAATCCTTGGACTCTACACGACGTATTCCTCTATCACATTTCCAGCAACAAAAAGTTTTTTTAATATACTGAGAGGTGAATTTGAATCCTTGATGCTAACTGTTATCAATGGAGACAAAGATTTTGCTTATTATAGCAACGTTTACAGTCTCGTAGAAAACTTCGATCATCTGCAAACATTTCAGTATTATATTGAGACCGTTTACACGCCCGATTCCCGCTTTTCAAACTTCGAACAGCTACCAGATGCAACTTACTTAATCTATACTTACCCTAAACTGAATCAAGATTGTGACAGAGCTCCATTTAATCGTAAATATTTCCGTTCGGACCTTAATTCTCAGCTGACCATGCGATCGCTTTACAATAGCTCGGAGCTCTGGATAGGGAAAAACTTACATGGATATCACCCGACAGCGCCCACAATGACTTTGCCAAACAATCCAAGACTAACAAATTTGAAAAGTATCGCATTTTTTGATTATGGGAGTGACGAACTGGCACCTGATGTGTGGCAATATGCAGCACAAGTCATCGCTCTATCACCTAACTTGTCTGAACTGAAATTTACTTATACCAACAATTTCTTCGAGAAGATATATCGCACCGTACCGTCGAAGCAGTTGAAGCGTATCACATATTTGCTTGTCTGGTTCGAAAAGAAAGATAGTGAAAACGGTTTCTATCCTTCAACATTTCTGCTTGATGTATCAAGAATGATGCCAAATCTAAAAGTTCTCGAACTCAATATTAGGTTCGCTGCTATTGCTGTTTTCGTGACATCATCAGTTAAGCTCATTCAAGATGCACGGAATTATTTTAAAAAACTAACCTGTGTGAAAGTGTCATCGTTCCTAGGGACCGCAGAAGAGAAGGTAGCAATTGATCGTTATAAGAAATGTCTACTGGAAGTGGGTGAACAGACTAGCACTTGGTTTTATTGTCCCATTAAAACTGAGAGCAAAGAAGTGTCGAAGTATCGATGCCTGTATATTTGGCTCTAGAACAGTTATAACCAAGATATTATCGAGATTTTTGTTAGTTCTATATCTCTTTCTAATTTTATGTTTTGTCATGGAAATCAATAACTTGAAATTGTTCCGTGCGAAAGTGTGAATGCTGTTCTATCAGAGATCTACTTTTTTAATGTTTTCTAAAGTCGATTGTGTATTTTCCTCAATCGGCGAATAGCAGATGTTAGTGCGTTTTCGTATTCTCACTCATGAATCAATGAGTCGGAGTGAAACTAAAACGAGGAGAAATTGTGAGCAGGTCAACAATTGTTGATTGAAATTTTCACTGAGTTTATTTAGTTCGAGTTATTAATTGCGCTCTTTCTTAACATGAACTCCACTAAAAAACATTGATCGTTCGTTCGCTAAACAACCGTCATGCCAAGAGTCGAAGTTCGATAGAGACATACACCCTCAAAGTAACTGTTGGATGGATCTATTAATTGAAGATTTGTTGATAATATTAACCGATGAACACGTTCGTTAATTATCTGATTGAGTATCGGAAAGATGTGTAATAGCTAGTCGTCTCTCCTGCTCCGATGAATATTTCTTAGTTTCATGTTAGCTTAGTAGAACTGTAGATAATGCTTTGGCGAGAAAGAGAAGTTTTTAGTACCTGTTGAAAATAGTATTCCATAAGCACACAAAGTGCTCCAGTTAATGCACTACATTTATTCAAAAGAGCATTTCGAATAGCAATCTCATCACTTTCCCATCAAATAGAGTAATAAAAGGATACAGTTGGACAAAAACATGCTCTGCCTATTCCAAGAAAGAGTCAACAAATATTATCAGAAATGTCGAATAAAATCTAAGTTATATAAAAACAAGTAAAAGTAATGGAAGTTTTTGTATCCAAGTCGTTCATCAAATCGCGTTAATTATAATCCTTGTTTCATTCATGCATCGAGGTTAATATTTTTTCTTCGAATATTATAAATAAAAATAATTAATTTTTTTACTTATTGGCATGTGCGCAATATCTAATGAATGAATGCGTTTGTCCTTCATCCATTTTTAACTTAGATTATTCTATTAACACATACACATTGATTCTTACAAAGAAAAGAAGACAGAATGAAGATAAAAACGACTCCAATAGGTCTATATAGTCAGTTTTATTTAGAACGAACATTCATCAAAAGAAAGTAAGAACAGAAACTCCATTACTTGTTCCCATGTATTTCAGCTTTTAAAATACATTAGACATCAAAGTAAGTTGGAAAAAAGTGGATTTACTAGAAAATCGACAATCTTGCAGATTTGAAAAAGTGCATAAGCTTTCCTAGGAGTATTTTAGTACAAATTTTCATGTAGTATCATACTCCCCATCCTCACCCTCAATTGAGACACTCAATATAAGAATCATTTTCACGTAATTTCAAGTCAATTGAATAAAGATTGGGAAAACATTCGATGAATTTAATAATTCAAGGTTCGTTGACAATGTTAATCGATGAATACGGTTGAGTAAGCAGGGAAAAATCAATTGTTCACCATGGATAATTAAATGTTTCAGATATCGAAATCGTTGAAATTCTTCGAACGAAAAATTCATTTGAGATTGAATGATCATTTTTTGGATATTTGGAAAACGCATTGAAAGATTTGAACTTTGCTGATCAACTCTTAAATATTTCACATTTGAACAAACATTTTCTGAATCTTTTTCATCTAACATCGATAAATTTAACCGTTCAAAATACCACGGATTCGTATAAATATGTTTCCAAGTCGATTGGAATGTCATCTGCCAACGTTTATCCAATGATCTAAAGATCTAAATAAAAAGTTGTTAACCAAACGAATGACATCGTATTTTCGAATTATTTTCATATCGTCTGTGTGAATTGAGCAATGAAAAGAACGAAGTCGTGGTAAATGTCTGTTGAATAAGACTTCAATATGATTTTCTTCCAAGGAGTTTTCGTTTAAATTCATCCAATGTTGAATATAAACTGTAAATTTTTCTACATAACTAAGTGGATGCAGAATATTCTGAAAATAGCCAAGATCCATTTGAACATTCTCATCTGTTTCAACTTGAAATTCAGTTAAGTGTAGCATTGTTTTCTTTGAATAGCAATAAAATTTGCGGGATTTATGAACACATGACGAGTTCGAAGAGATCATTGCATGAAGATATATTAAATATTCAGATATGAATTCTAAATGAAACAAGATTGATATAAAATTAATTGTTGCATTTGAATTTACTTACGAAATAGTTATTTTATTTTTTCAGTCAAATAATCATATATAATAGATTTATAATTGTCGAAAAGAGCTTTATCCAATACAAACAAAAGTTCAAACGGCATTTCAAGAAAAGTTGACATTCTCTCCTTTACACTTAAAGATGCTACGAGACATTATATACGCAAATATCGACTAGATAATCAGTGTGTAAGGTGAGGTCAAGACATAGCTGTGCATTTTCTTTGTTACATAACGTTAATGCGCAGCTGGATGAGAGTGGAGTGTGTCTCTCATCATTGAAAGCATCTTGACCCACACCCTATAGCCATTTCATTTCTATCAATACATTTCAAAGGCAAGAAGAAAAACGAACATTAGATGTCCCTTCCACCTACACAGTGCTTACTCTTTGATCACATTGTAAGACTGTTAGTACTTGAACTCTATGTCTAAAATCAATTAAAAACAGATTAGTACATTAGTTTCTACTTGTGTGCATGTTTAAGGATACAAACGGTAGAATAGAAGAAAGCAACAGTGTTTAGTATCTGTTCATCCACTAAGAAAAGTCATAGAACAATCCTATGGCTGATTTATTCCTTGATCAGTACTGAGACGATTATTTATACACAAAATCCGATTGGTTTGAAGCCATCTACATTCGGTCGTGCCCTGATATTAGGAGTAGCAGTCGGTATACGTTATTTGCGCGGTAATGTTAATGATGCTCGATATAGATCTTATCCCGATCGAAATTTCCAATTGATCATACCAGGATCCGAACTTATGTCAATGCAAATCTGAAAAGGAGAAAATTAATATAATTTTGCTGATCCTGATTAGCTTTTGGGCGCAACATTGAATCCCACTGGATGAACTCAGCAACATTATTTTCAAGTTCGTGGCCATACTCTATTTTGAGCGTATGATTCCCGAATACCTCGTTGGTTACTTAATCAAGAATTATGAATGTCACCAGAAAAAGTTAAAGCTTTACCGAAGGCTTACATTTATACAGTAGTCGATCGATATCGTGGAAAATCTCAATGGTGGAATGTGGTAAATGAAGTGATTTCTGACCATAACGAAGCTTGACCATTTAATTTACACACTTCATTTTGGTATCGAAAACTAGGCACATATTTTATTAAATATGCGTTGAGTTTCGCTCACGATGTGGATATTCAGGCAAAATTAATTTAGAATGAATATAAAATTGAAAGTGGAGGATTAAAAGCAGAGAAAACACTGACATCCATTAAGTGGTTAAAATGTGAAAAGATACCAATTCATGATCTTGGAATGCAATGGTAAATCAATATAACAGAAGTGATTACTCTCGATGATGAACATTATCAAATAGTTCAACGATTCTATTGATCAAAATATCAGCTTGACGATATTCGAACTCGATGTCGCTATTGAAACGAATGAAGGATACCCTGTTGACCCTAATGTTATACAAAAGAAAGTTAATATCGATCATTCTCTACTGAAATATGTTCTTCATTACTTTCAAAAAATTCCTACAATGATTACTTGGGACTATACGAATCGTTTCAGTTAGATTCCTCCAGCGACTAATTATACGAAAGGAGATGATCTAACACTAGATTGTCAATATCAACCGAAAGCAGCGTTTTGGAAATTACGTATTCTTGCTAATAGTATCTACCGGCTTTGACCCCAATCACGACCAAACAAATGTCTTAGGACTTACAGTAATGGTACTGTACAAGTTGATAGTGGAAATTGCAATGATACAAATAAAAAATGGAATGTCACATGGCTTGGAGATGGCACTTCTCGACTCTCACCGCAAAACAATGCTAATTATGCACTGGATGCTTATACTACAACAGCATCAATTGGTGGAGCTCAAACAAGGAATTGGTCAGGTGATTTCACCCAAGAATGGTTCACTAAAACACAAGAAAATAGCACATATTTCATTGCACTGCGCAATGCATGGTGGCGGATATTTACGGTCTTTGAGACATCGAAGATTGGTATGGTCAATCGTATCTATGGTGATCTTCAATGCTGGATCTTAATCATCGTTTGATGATCCTTGTTTGTGTCATGATATCTTTCTTTTAGAGAATGAAGCTATATATTCACATTCTCGCCCTCCGGTTATAATAGAAGAAGACTGCTATTCTGTAATGTAAGCGGTGTGTTATTTATTATTTATCACGAGACGAAAAACGAAAAAAGAAAACATGTAGTCCCTTGTCATATACACAATGAGATTGTCTTATTTCTTCTTTTCTAAACCGTTAGATTGTATGTGTAATATCGTTTGTGCTATTTGTAGATATTGGTCAACGTTTCGTCGAAATCTTTGTTGGTACAATTTCGATGGACAAACAAATATAATAAAAGTAAGCATCGACGGAATGAATGAAACAAAATATCCAATAAGTAACAACCATAGATTATCATTTGATTTAATACAACCTGCAATGAACGAAATGATTAAACGAGGTGTACTGAGTATCAATAGAATAATTGGAGTGATGAAGAGATAACGATGTTGTTGAAATTGTTCACTAATCAGGCTTCGATAAGATTGTTTCGGATGTACAAGTCGGTGTTGTCGAACAAGTATCGTAATGATAATTGGTCCTGAAATCAAATTAATGACAAATGGAACGATAAAATGAAATACATTTATTGCTGAATTATACGTTTGAAAAGCAGATGAATAGACAACAATACACCAGATTCGCTTGCTGCTATCATCATCATCGTCATATATCAATCGTCGATGAACAGGATCATGAGTAAATGTACCAATGATAATAGTGAGAAGAATCATCATGATATACTTGGCTCTTTTTTTGCTTTTTTTCTTGTCAAACCTCAATCTTTCCGTCACGACACTCATTCGATCTATAGCTACACATGCATTCAGCCATTGAGCCATGTTAAGACATACTTGGAGTAAAAAATCCACTGATAGACATTGGAATTGTAGAAAATATCGATTTGTGAGATAAGTTTTTTGTGCGATGTAAAGTACCCAGAATTTCAATGCGAAGACAATTGTGATAAGAAGGCCACTCACTGACGAACCCAATAGATACAAATCTGAACCCACTTCGTTTACTTCTGGGCTCTTAAATGTTAACATGCAGAGCACACCATTGACCAATCCTATTAGCATTAAAAGTATAGTTACCCCTACGCTGATTTGCACAATAGATAGTTGATTTCTCAGGTGAATATGTGGTTGAATATGATAGCCTAACACAGCATCAAGAGAAAGACCGAATAAATGTGAACTGAATTGACAACGAGCGCCGTGAAAACATGCTCGACAAACACAAATTGATGTTTGGGGACAAGTTACTTTGTCTTGTAAGCACTGAGCTTCGTTCTCACAGTTGCTTCTACCAAAACAATCTTGTTTGACTGTATGACTGAATTCGAAGCAATTAGCTATTCTTTGATGGCCCAAGTCTGTACATACACAAAAGTGAACTTCATCGTAAAAACAAGTCAATTGTGGTGAATGTGTTTGACATGGTAAATGATAGTATTTTATGCGACGAAGAAGATGAGATTTACTAATCGTTTCGTTGAATAGTTCTGTTATATGTTTGCAGCGATTTAATGAACTAATCGTTTGAGTAATGGTTGCTGATTGATTGTACACTTTTTGAACCGTAATCAAATGAAAAATTTTGTCAGGCAGTTCAGCAAGAGCAACGTGAAATGGGCGTGGCCATTTGACAGTCACTAATCTCTGATTGGTAGTAATCGATTTCGATGTAGAACCATTTTCAGGTGCAGCACGTTGCATCTGTCGAATGAAATGAAATATTATAAATTGCGGCAAAGTAATCTCTTGGCCGAAGAACACAGTGATTGTTGTGTCAGCAATTTCACATCTCTCTCCACTAAAATCCTTCGGACAGACACATGTAAATTTTTTGTCCGATATTGCATATTCATCGGCGGGTATGCATTGACCTCCATTTTGGCATGTCATATTTTTATTAATTTCGCACGCGATGTTTTCCAAAACGCAAAGCGAACCCCATCTGCTTACAGGACAAACACATATCGATCGATTGTTAGCTGCAATGCCGATACACAATGAACTAGGTGCACACTTGCAAATATTCTTTTGCGGGATATGACAGTTTTTTTTCCTGACCAT